TGGTGGTAGGTTGCACGTTAATAAGCTCTGTCCTCTGATTACTCTATAGAGCTTTCAATACACTACAAAAGATAAAAAAACATGTATTTTGGATCATGAAAATACAAGTGGCAATATAAGGTAAGGAGATATTAAGTGGATACACTTGTACTGCCATTCAGATATATTTGGATAGATACAATATGGGTGATTTCTAAAATATGATAATGTTAAAGTAAACCAAATCTTGGTTAATTTAACAGAAATGAAACTGATAAGAAAATGTTTTATTTTTTATCCTGTAGGGCTAATTTTGCCTTGGATGCTGATAGAATAAAATAATATAATATAAAATGTGTGAATAACAAGAGTTCAATCACATTTTTCCATTGAGACTTTCGTACCATTTGTTTAAATTTTATATTGAGCTCAGTCACGTTGTGTTATTTATCTACAGACTTCAGCACCTAAATATTGTGTTAAAGTGTTTTCCAAAGTGCATCATAGGAGATGCCCTAACAGGAAACTGCACCTGTAAATCAAAGCTTGAAGTTTGAAATCCCAATAAATGAAATCATATTATATTTAAGAAAAGTTGTATTCTTGTCAGTAAACTGCCTCTGGGGCAAACCCTTTACAGGTATAGTTCCTATTTGACCTGCTTATTTTAAGATTTAGAACTAAACTCCACAACATTTTAAGAGAGCTTTTTTATTGTTCTGATGAACAAATAATTAGACTTCTCAAGCCCTGCAATTTATCATCAAGTTTAGAACAAAGGTAACAGTCAGCATTTTCCTTGTTAGCACGTCTGTATTTTAGCCATGTTTGTGCTTTATGCGGAGAAGAGGGCTGATGTCTACTTTTTTACCATGGAATGGCACAAAGTTTGCTAAAAATATCACTAGGAATTAATGCTCACTCTGTGAAAATTGGTGCTACATATAATGAAAATGTATAATGAGCGTCAAAGGATGACCATTTTTTTGTAGTAGGCACACTGACATTTTTAGCACACACAAGAAATAGGTAAATTATGCTGTTTGATATTTGTAATCAACCTTATTGATCAACAAGGATTTTACTTTTTTTGGTTCCAATTGTTATTTCCATAACCCTGTTCTGAGTGCCTGTGACTTTAAATCTACTTTTTAGAAAATCGGCTCAGATATTCATTAATACTCTCAACTGCTGTCAATGAGCAAAGCCATCCATCTGTGAAACAGTCAAAGCTGAAACGAACAACCTTTACATTTAGAAATAATACAAGATTTCTACCAAAAATGTGTTGTTTTTGTCTTGTCTCTTATTACTTGAATGCTCTACAGCTCCAGGATATCACTTTTTGTGTTTTTTTTTCTTTAGAGAGAACCATGAAAAACGTGGAGAACAAGCTGGATCAGATGATACCATGAAGAATAGCTCACAGGTCCTCTGCTGCCAACTGCTTAGTAAGTAAAGCATGCTTTTGCCAGTGTGTTAGGGGAATCAGTCTAATGAAAACTCTTCCATTGTCTTTTACTCATAAGTGCCAAATCATTTCTGGATGAGTCTTCTGGGGTGATCAGTGATGCTTATGTGAAGAGTGCAGCTCTGCTCTGCCCCTGGTAGGATCTGATCACAGTCACTCATGGGTACAGAGCATCCCTAGACAGTGGAACACCCAAACGCTGAGTCATTTTCTGTATATTGTTGACTAATCATTAGTCATTATTCAAATCATGACTAATACTAATGTAATAAATGCCTCATCAGTTACTTGCCCATGAGGTGGGCTAGAGGTTTCAAACACTGTCTGCCTGCTTTCAAACTGTATTCCCTTCAACCCTCAGGTTAAATCTTAGACCTTATTGACCTTGTTAGAAGCTATTGCAAGAAAAATAAAAGCTCAATGAAACACCCAAGAGGACCATAAAAGTTAGATTTCGTGGAGATGTATTAAAAAAGCAGACCTATAAATGACAGAATTTTCTTTTGAATTAAGATCTACATACAGTACAAGAAAAAAAGTTCACTTATGCATTGCAAACAAGAACAAATGATGAAAAAGAAATGAGCACAGATCTTCATTACTAATCCTCAGCTGTATGAAATGCAGTTAATTAAAAAGAATCGCACTGCAGCTTTGAAAATCAAGTAAGCAATATCTGGCTCTCAATTGTAGACATTGCTTCCTGTTGGCTTCTAATTCAGTGTTTTTAATAGACAGACCAGCATTTATATGATAATACTGCAAGTCCCCCTATTACTGCTTATTATCTGTGAACCAAAGATTACTGAGGCTTACCATACATGGTAGATTGATATATAATAAATTTTATGTTATGATATTTTTGTCAATATACTATATTATGCAATTATACAAAAATTTCTTGCAGTAAAAAATGTAATGTATTGGAAATCTGTATTTTTTTCATAACGGACAAGTGCATTTTCTAAAACTAGTGTCTTTCCTGCTCTATTATACATTAATATTCAAGTAGAACCTCACTCTATTTCTTTTTAAGAAATATTGACATATTCTCTTGAGCTTCCGAGATCTTTTAATATACTGTATAATATTTTTTCCATCACAGGTGAGTTTTGTTGAGTCAAGGCATTATAGGTTTTCTTATCCTTGTTTATGTTTTTATGTTTCTGTGAAATGAGTCCTTCGGAGATGCACTCATTGACCTCTTTTAGAAAGCAATCATATGTTGCCCACGTATATGATCACGTTCCTAGCAGTAAAACGATGAGACTTCCATCAATCCTTCTTCCTGTCTATCTGGGGAAAACGTCCCTGATGAGACTGTTTCACATAAAATCAGCTCTGTATCTATAAAAGTGTGTTCCAGGCATTTGGAAGAAACAGGGGACAATCTGGAAGTAACTAATAACACCCCAAGCATAACACATTAAGCCTAGAACTGCTGGTGTTCACTTGCCTGCCTCCCAGAGAGTCTCTGTTTCTGCTTGTGCAACATGATTTTTTTAAGTTCAATGAGAATCATACTGTTTAATTTAAAATATATATGCTTTAACTGTTTTGGATGTCTAGGAGGTTTCTGTTAATTATTAAACATACTGAAAATACTGTTGTCTGTCATAGTTTTTTTATGCAGATCAGCAAATGTATTGAGTCTGAATGAGAAGTGTGGAGATTGAGCAGAGAGCAGTTAAAGCCTTTATCTGGCTAACTTTAACATGGTTTTAGGATTGCTTAAAAGTTGGATATGTTTCAGACATGTAGCTTTGGACCATTAACTATTCCCAACACATTTTTTAACTCTTTGAGAAAGACTCCTTTTGATCAGTTTAGATAGAGTCAGAGCTGATGGCAAGGAATTCATCTCCTGTTTAAAGAAGCTGATAAGGGAGCTACAGTATATGATTCTGTAGACTCTGTTTTCCTTAATGGTTATTCCACTGAGGCTGTATCCAAAATCTCTTTGCAACTCCTTGTTTATATCTGCCATCTTTTGGATGTTGGCAACGCTTAGCTGACGCCAGCTGATGTCATTGGTAAGTTTGCAACGATTGTATCAGGCAGGCTTCAGGGGAAGCCATTAACCCCCTCTGTTATGGGTAGGTCCATCTTATCTCAGCCAACACATCGTTTCCTGTTCTGGCAATTTCATCTCCAGATGTAAAAGTGAATGATACATATTTTGTTCTTACCTGACTTTTCTAAAACTATTCACAAAAAACACAATCACATTATGTTCACCTCTGTACTCGCTGTGATTGTTCAATAATAATGAAAACAGTATGAAAGATATAGCTATCTTTCCTCTGTCTGTGCTGTTCTAAGACAATGCCTGAGTTTTTGTGATCGCTCAACTTGCAGTTGAACATCAGGCGTTCACTTCATTTCCTGTTTACACAAACATGTAGGAAGCGGTGCCTGAGTGGAAATACCCCAGCTTTGTTTTTCTCGCTTCAATCCCACAAATCCTCGTGTTTAAGATTTAGGTTTGCCATAGAAAAAGGGTCGAATGCCAATGTAATCAACATATTTTAGTCTTTATTTTTCAGTTTTCTGACATTCTTTCATCTATAAAAGTGTGCAGTTTGAGCGTTCCAAGTTTTCATTAGAATAATCACTTTAAATGATATTCCAGATGGGGCCTTGAAGGTTCGGAATGATTTGCTTCATGTTTTCTGTGCAAGTGAAAGAAAAGCAATCATATCTTCGGGCAAAAAAATATATTCCTTTTGCTGCTCAAATTAGTAACTTCCAAGGTGCTAACATGGACGTGCTTTTATGTTGTTCTGTGTCTGAAAAGCTTGGAGGCACTCCTTCTCTTTCCAGTGCAAGCTGCTGTATTCATCACTATGGCAACTGCCAAAAATCAATCCATTGTATCCAAACGCTGTAGCCCTCTTGTTCCTAACATTTCCAGACTACTTACTGCTTTGTAGCATTTTTTACATTTATTCCACAACTAATATCAAAACATATATACAGACTAATCAAAAGTTTCACAATTTAACTATGGCACAGTATGTTCAGGGAACCTGTGATCATTTTTATAGACTGCTCAAAGGATCCTCAGTAGCAAAGGGACGTTTTCCATCCCCTCAGAGTACTAAACTGCTTTGTGGTATCAACACTCTCACAGTAGGTCTCCTTCAACAGTGCTAAATTATGATCTGTTGATATACACATACCTGTACATGTTGCATAACGTCTACTTTTTGCATATTTTCATTTAAAATGTAAGTCCTTATTCAGTGTGATTTCAGAAGAAGGAATTTCCTGCCCAGACAATGTTTAGACCATCTCTGCTAAAGCGTCCTTTTTGGAAAACATAGATAAAAGTATATAAAGAGAATGTTCAGATGTCAAAAACTGAAAAAATCAAGCTTGGATTTTTGAATGGAGGTGTTTTCATTTGTTTTATTTTTTTTAGTGTACCACTGACTTGCACATTGTGCCTTTATCATTTTGAAGACATTTCAGCTTTCACCAAACAGTTCTTTACAGTGGCAGACATAATTCACATGACAGGTTACAGATTGTACTTGCTTGCTGCACAAAGGCAAGCTAGACCTGGGAATATTCTAGTGGTATTTTAAACATTTAGACCCTTTATTCTTCACAGTTGTGATGGGATTGCTGTTGTTAAAATGTATTGTTACAAATAGGGTAATGGAAATAGAAAATATCAGAAACAGGCTGAGCAGATTAATCAGCAAGTCAATTAAATAACCATGATGCCCTCATTGTAAAGATTGAGCCCAGAATATCCCCAAGCGGTTGGCATAAATGGAGGCCCATGGGTTCTTTGTTCTCTGGCAAAGCTTTGGTGAAAAGAGTAATAATTCAGCTAAACTGAATTAAACAAATATTTATTAATAATGACAAATGCAAATGACAATGTATAAACCATACAACAAAAACATACAAGTTACGCTTACGCTACTTGCAAACAAGGCACCCCAAAGATCTATGTCTTGTTCAACCAGAAAACCCCAGACTGATATCAAGTATTTAAATCCCTATTGAACATCTACACAGGCTAACAAGAGAGACACATCTGCCTTCTGAAACAGAATATGACCCACAGTACATATCTCTATAAATCTTAATAGGAACCTATCTCCCTATTCTAAAAATTCACCAAATAACCAGGGATTCTCTACACTGACACACACAGACACGCACACACTCATACCAGGGCCAATTTCCCAGAAGAATATTAGCCTATCAGTATGTCTTAAAACTATAGGAGCAAACGGTAGCACCCAGAGGAAACCCACATGAACATGGCAAAAACATACAGACTCCATGCAGATAGCACCCCAGGTTTGTTATTGAACGCAGGGCCCCAGAGCTGTGATGTAAAACACTTTTTCACTGTGCCATCCGCAGTTCTAACATAAACCTCTGAAATATGGTATACTGTATGCACCTGTAGATCCATGGATATAACTTAATGACGCATAGTGTTGAATTTTAACATTTAGTTGTTTAGGTGTACATCTTGAAATTAATTTTAAAAGATGCGATTTCGAGGTTTCCTGTATTCATCTTCGGATACCTCTAAAGAATATTCTGAATTGGCGTAACTGTGTTTTAAGTGGAACAATCAAAAACTGAGCGGAATCAACAACTTCCTGCGGATGTATCCTGCGTAGAGACATGTTCAGCACTTTCACAGTGGCAACATAGAGACGCCAGTTAGCCTAGCTTGCATGGTGACACGTAATTAGAGCTGGTTACCCACGGCTCTCGGGTTTGATTTTTCACCGGGGGTCTCCTGTGTGGAGTGTGTATTTCATCCTGCTTTCACATGGGAGTGCTGTGGTCCCCCAACCCCCCCCCCATCTCCTCTGGTCTGTAATAGGCTCTGTGATGCTGCAACCCCTTATCCGGAATAAATGGGTTGCTCATAATGGATGTACTGTATACAGTAATTTGTGAAAAGCAAGTCACGACTCCTATACCATCGTTATTTCAAACTCC